CCATTTCAAACGGGATTCTCCAAAACAACAAATTCGTAACAAATCGTGAAGATTGAGCAAATTAAAATAGGCGCTGAGACCTCTCCGAATCAAATATTATCCATTACTACTATCGGAATTTGATTGTTTTGAAAATCATCAGACCATTGATGGGCACAAACTGAAAGCTATGAGGAGATCGAACAAATATAGAATTTACAGAGAACTCATCAAAACAAATAACATCGATTTTCACCGTCCTAATATGGTTGATTAAAACTTGTCGAACGATTAAGGTGGAAGTTGTGGGCATTGTGTATCAGAAGATCGAACAAAGAGAGAAATCTACAGAGAACTCGTCGGAGCAAATAACTTCGATTCTCACTTTCGAAATCTGATTAATTGAAACCTGTCGTACAATTGAGATCACAAATTTGAAGTTATCAACACTGTGTATCAAATTTTTTTAAGGCAACGATCACAAACTAAGGTTGGATAAATCAATGGCATGTGACCAGTTCACTTAGATGTGTGACCAATGACCTATGCACTATGATTGTAACATTTAACATGTAAATTGTTATTTATAATATTGATCCAATGGTCCACGACAAGTTCTATAGAATTTGTGACCTATGGACGTTGATCTATTACTATGCAATATGATATGTGACATGTGAATTTAAATTTGTGACATATCGTTAGTGCATAAAGACATGTAACATGATACGTAACCATATAATTTTGATATGTGATGTGTTGGCATTGATATGTAACCTATACAATATAATTTGTGACATGTGAAGTGTGATCTATGACTAGTTCTATTTGATTCGTGATCTATGTACAATGGCCTATAACATGTAAATTGGTACATGTGACCTTAACATATGAACTGTAACATATGAATTTGAATTTGTGACGTATTATCAGTACAAAAAGACACGTGACATATGGTCTGTGACCAATCAATTTTGATCTGTGATCTGTTCGAACTTAACAATGTCCTGTACAATATATCATGTGATTTGTGAACATAAATTACTGATATGTGAGGAGTTCTATTTGATATGTGATATGTGGACATTGATTTGTAACATGTCAATTTGTATATATGACTTGTGGACTATCGCGACCAACGACACTACCACCATTTCCACGTCAAAAGGTCATTGTGCATAGAGATAGGCACCACCACTGGCACTACCACTGCACCGTCGCCACTCCATCACCACCACCAACAGTAAAAAAACCCCATATCCAAATCCAATTCGCAAAATCACCCAACATCACCGTCGCCTAAGTTGGCACCACACAGACCAATATATCCATAAACGTCTCCATTGCTGGTGGATTATAATAAATTCCATCATCTTATTCCCTTTAATCCATACCCCTACCATTATCTAACCAATTTTTTTCTAATTTTTTCACAAGAGAAGGGAAAGATACCAAAAGTCGCAAAGAGAGGACAATTATCAAAGAAAAAATAAGTATTAATATAGTCATCAAAATCTAAAGTGTTATGGTTTGAGGATTCTTCTAGAAATTCGCAGTTACGATTAGGGCAATTGAGTTCATCGGTGGTGAGGGTGCGATGGTGATATTGAGTTCGAATTGGTAGCAATAGTATTGTCGTGGGTCACCCCCACCACCACCTTTGGAAAGAATATCCACAAACGACATCTGAGTATATGTCTTCACGGTGAATTTGGGAGAGAAATGAAACAGAGACAGGAAATTATGAACAATTGGGTAAAATTATGACGTTTCACTCACAGCGTTGCGTGGTAGTGCTGGCGACGGATATGAGGTGGGGTTTGGGAGCGAATAGACGAAAATGAAGTAAGGATATAGGGTTTCAGAGTGAAGAGTGAAGAGAGGAGAGGAAAATGAGGGAAATCGGTTTGGATGGGCAGGGGTGGGTTGATAAATTAATTTAATTTTATAATATTATTACTAATATTAAAATATGAAAATATTACCCAACTTTTGTATAACTTATTTTTAAAATCATTTTTTAATCATACATTCTCTAAGAAAATCACTAATATAAAATTCATTTTTCAACCGAAAATGAACCTCAAACAGAGCCTAAATATCCATCATATAAAGTTAGGTTGACTCAGTAAAATAATGTGAGTCATTTAGAACCCATAAGCCACCATATCGGTTTGGTGGTTCTACCCAACTCTATACGACCCCTTCAATCCAATGGACAAAATAAGCTCAATTAGGTAGAATAATACAATTAGAGTCTGTTTGATGCACATTAAAATGAGGGAATGCAATTTTTTGAATTTATGTGATGAATATGTGATTGAAAAATAAAAAAAAATTATTGATATGATGAAAAAAATTATTTTATTGAAGAATGAGTGATTGGAAATGAGTAAAAAAATAAAAATGAAAAAAATAATGTGACTCAAACATGGCTTAATGCTGAATCCATAAGCCTCCAAACTCGACTTGACCATTTGAACTAGTCGAATGGACAATGTCAGCTCGACTTGGCAGAATGATGCGAGTCATGCTGACCCTGTAAGCCAGCCATATTGGTCCCTCCCAGCTCTAAACTCGTAGGTTCAAACTTCAAATTCAAGCTGGCGGCCCCATTTATTCATAATCAAAAGAATAATATTACAGCAGCGCCCTCTAAGCAGCTTCAATTTTTCAAGATAAAGATCAAATTATGATTCTCATTTATTTACTACTTCGTAGTTACCTAAATCATAGTCAATCTGCGCAATCCAAGTCCAATATTTGACTTTTCAATTGGGGAATATATGATTCGCAAAATCTTCAAGCCCTAACTTTCTTCCTCACCTCTTCTTGAGAAACTATTAGGGTTTGATTCGTCTCTTGGGGAAGAAGCAAATCGCTTCCGTTTTTTGGTAAATCCACACTTCTTATTCCTTTTTCTTTCCTAGTACTTTTTGATTTTGCATTTATTCAGTAACTTCATTTTTTCTATTTTCTTTTTCAGTAAATGGAAATATTGCTCTTGATTATGGTGGAAAATTCATATTTTGTGATTTTTATTGATGGGTATTTATTTTATCTTTTTATTGAAATTGAAAAGGAAAGAAAAGAATCAGTTGTTATTTCTATGGTGAAATGAGGCATGTGGGGAATAATAGAATTTCATTATCTGAGTTATTACTGTACTTCTCCAGTTCTCCTTTGGAGTTGAACCCAAATTTACTGTGAACACGGCTTAGTTCTTTTTTTTATTTTTCATCATTGTAGACGCCAAGTATGGGTTCTGAAATGGTGCATCGAGATGGCGAGGCATTCGTAGAAGTTGACCCTTCTGGCCGATATGGCCGGTATGGTGAACTGCTCGGATCGGGGGCTGTGAAGAAAGTGTACAGAGCATTTGACCAAGAAGAAGGGATTGAGGTGGCTTGGAACCTAGTCAAATTGAGAAGCTTCCTTGGAGACGAAGCAATGATAAATCGGTTATATTCCGAGGTTAGGCTGCTGAGGACATTGAAAAACAAGAATATTATCGCGTTGTACTCAGTGTGGCAGGATGAGGAGAAAAACACGCTGAATTTCATTACCGAGGTATGTACATCTGGGAATTTGAGGGAGTACAGGAAGAAGCATAGGCATGTATCGATGAAGGCGTTGAAGAAATGGTCTAAGCAAATTCTTAAGGGATTGGACTATTTGCATACTCATGAGCCTTGTGTCATTCATAGGGATCTAAATTGTAGCAATGTCTTCGTCAATGGCAATGTTGGTCAGGTATAACTTTTGTTTATCTCTGTTTTTCACAACACATTGTCTTGAAAATTTTGTTCCATTTGCAGAAAGAGAAATAATATAGTGAGATTTGGAGAACTTAAAGAAGTAAAATTAAGTGTGATCATGTTAAGTTTTTCTCAAGCATTGATAAGTATGGCATCCACTGATATGCAGCATTTTCTGCTTCAATATTCTATCTTGGTATAGTATTCATTGGAACCGTGACCGACTATTGTGCCTTTTATTTTTTTTTCACTTTAAAATGGCAATGAACATAGCGAAATGGTGAAAAAAAATTCCATGTAGCTGATCCCGAATTTTTTGGGAATAAGGCGTAATTTTTTGTCATTGTTGTAAAGAAAATGAACTTTTTGATTTGTATATTCTTTTCATCCTTCATTTGTTATTATCTTGTTTGTTGCAAATAGGTGAAAATTGGTGATTTGGGTTTGGCAGCAACCGTTGGCAAGAACCACTCGGCGCATTCATTACTTGGGACACCAGAATTCATGGCACCGGAATTATATGATGAGAACTATACCGAGCTGATAGATATCTATTCATTTGGAATGTGTTTGCTTGAGATGGTGACTCTTGAATTACCCTACAGCGAGTGTGACAACGTTGCCAAGATATACAAAAAGGTGACATCTGGATTGAGGCCGCAAGCCATGAACAAGGTTAAGGACCCCGAGGTCAAGGAGTTCATCGAGAAGTGTCTTGCTCAGCCTAGGGCTCGACCATCGGCCGCTGATCTCCTCAAGGACCCCTTTTTTGATGGAATTGATGATGGCGAAAATAATGCTGACAACCATAGTATTAACTGATATCCAATTATTGTTTCTTGTCCTTTTTGTTTCGTAGATTAACGTTGAAGGGCATGTTCAGGATGGGGTATAGTTTATTTTTTCCGATTTCTTGGTATCGATATTTGATTAATTTGGGAGGTGTTGTGGAGGTGATTGAAGGTATTTGTGATAGCGTTTGGTTTTGCCAAAATACTTTCAATCAGTAGTAAGATTGAATTGCCTGGATAATTGTTCGAATTACTTGTTCTTTTTGCCATGATTATGATATATGTTGGTGAATAATGCTATTCATCATCCCTTGAACTTTTTTTGATTCATTGTTTAATGAAGTTGTGATGTATTCAAATGTGATGAACGGGAAAACAGGGGAAAAAAGTAAACATCCTTTTCACTTTACGAAGTTAGTTTATGAAGGTTTAGTCGGTTGGTCGGTGTTGCGCGGGTTGACGAGCAAAAATTATTCTCAGCCATAGTTGTGACTCAAATGTTTGTTGGAAAGAAGGAATTTTCAACTTATTACGTTAAGGACACTTGAAAAATGGAGAAGGCATTTACCAGTTGGTCAACGGCTCCAATTTACTAAAAGTTTTAGCCCGTTTGGAAATGATTAAAATTGAAAATATAACCATTATTGGGTCTTACTCGTCTAATAAAAGTAACAATAATGATTAGAATTGTAATTATGTAAATATAAAAAAATTCTATATTTTCAATTTTGAAAACGAATTGTTGGGGATACGCAACAAGGAGTGCGGATTCCCACTCATTTTGAGTGGGGATTCAGGTGAGGAAGGGGCGCTAAATTTCATGATCGAATAGGACAAAACTTGAACTCATAATCTTTAACTTCAAAATTAAGTTTTTTAAAGTAATTAGGAAAAAAATATGTATTTATATTTATATCGTCACTAATTTTCAAGTCCTTAATTTCAGTTCTCATTGGCAAATTTTAGAGTGAAATATCACTATGAAAAATACCAGTAACTTTTAAGTTCCAAAAGACAAAAACAAAAATCTCGCCAAGTTCCTTAATTAACTCGCCTTGTTTTTTATGTTGTCTACCTGGTGATCTTGGCGCATGAGCGCGTGTTTGAAAACAAAATTATTGATCCTGTGACAACCTTAACTTTTAGACGAGATTACTCAACCACTCTTACTCGATATTAGCTATGAAAAATTTGTCTTGTAGCACTTGTTTCTATACATTCCTCTTTGGAATCTATGAAAATACTTGTTCTTATCTGCATATATACAAAACAGAAGTAAGAAATGTGAGAAACCAAGTAAAAAAATTGATCAAATATGAAAGAAGGAATTATGTTTAAGCACAGGAGAAGAAATTCAGTGCAGATTCTGAAGATGCTGCTGAATTTTGCATCTATTTCTCTACTTTTCTTGTTCTGCAATGGGGGTGAGTTCTCAGAATCCACGTCTTTATCGAATTTCATTCGTGCTGTTGATCCTGAAAATCGACTGAGGATTGACAGGAACACGCTATTGTTGCATCCCTGTTCGTATAAACTGAAGGGTATTATATGTGATTTACGTGCCACGACTGTGGTAGAGATCAGGCTTGTTAATTTGAGCCTCACTGGAATATTGGATGTGGATTATATGTGCAAACTGCAAAATTTGAGAGTGCTTAGTTTGGCTAGAAATTGCATTAAGGGCACTATTCCTAACTCGATATCGAAGTGCACAAGTTTAAGATATTTAGATTTAAGTAGAAATTCTTTAAGTGGGAATGTACCAGTAGTTCTTACCAAGCTAAAGAATCTCAGAAGATTAGATATTTCGGAAAATCATTTCACTACCGTTGTCCATATTACTACACAAAAAGTCATACGGGTTAAGGAGAAACCACTTCATTCGCGCAGGTTTAAGGATAATTTTCCTCGAAAAGAATCAGAAACAGGATACGTGATGGCTCCAATTTCACTAATGCCACGACGTACTAGGCAAGACGAGGGGAAAAGCAAAATGTATAAAAGATGGGGTATAGGGATTCTTGTATTTCTTGGATTTACAATTATCTTGCTGCTGGTAGTACTTTTCTTGTACACGAGGGCAGTTAGAGGGGCAAAAGAAACCGAGACTTTAAAGACGCTCGCTCAGTCGCCTTCGAAATCTCCTCCAATCGAAGTAATGGACGAGCAGAAGCCAGAAGAAAGACTTTCAGAGCTCGTGTTCTTTGTCGAAAAGGAAGAATGGTTCGAATTGGAAGATCTTTTGGGAGCTGCAGCTGATTTGCATACACAAAGCCTCTGGAGCAGCCTTTACATGGTACAACTAAAGAACAATGCCATATATGCTGTCAAGAGATTGACGAAACTCAAGGTGTCTTTTGAGGAGTTTGGCTTGACAATGGGAAAGATAGGCAACTTAAAGCATCAAAATATCCTTCCTCTAGTTGGCTACAATTCTACAGATGGGGAAAAACTTTTGATTTATAGATATCAGAAGAATGGGAGCCTCCTAACCCTGTTTGAGAGTAAGTTAATAGAGAAGCACATGATTGGTATGTGTTTATAATCAGTCAAACTACTTTTTATCCAAATGAGACCTACAAGTACTATCCACTTATGTATCGCACGTTTTTATCTATTTATAATTTAAGCTGATTCTTGTTTTCAGCTTAAGTCACTAGAGCACAGCCGGATGAATCAAACCCGCAAAGTGGTTTTTCTCCAGTTTTGGAATATTCTACGCTGATCTTCGTGTATACTAACTCCTAGTTTGCATTCGTGTGGAAAATTGCCTAATCGGGTGGCTAACAGTTCTTTTTTTGTCACTTGCAGGCTACATACAGGGCGAAAGGAATTTTCCATGGAAGCTTCGGCTATCCATGGCAGTCGGGATAGCAAGAGGTTTGGACTTCATATATCGAAGATTTGATGATCACTACGAAATCATCCCTCATGGGAACATAAAGCTTTCAAATATCCTGTTATCTGACAGTGAAGAACCATTGATTAGTGAATATGGATACTCAAATTTTCTTGACCAAAGTCTCTTCAAGTCGAATAGATATACAGCCCCGGAGAAAACTTTAAGTGAAAAGGCCGACGTTTTTAGCTTTGGAGTAATTCTTTTGGAGTTGTTAACTGGCAAAATTGTTGAGAGTGGATTAGACCTTCCGAGGTGGGTGAAGTCCATGGTGAGAGACGAATGGACCGGAGAGGTGTTCGACTGGGAGGTTTCCAACGTCGAAATGTATGCTTTCCCCTTGCTGAATGTCTCCATGAATTGTGTAGTAAATCATCCCGAGGATAGGCCTTCCATTGCTGAAGTTCTCTTGAAGATAGAGGAGGTTGTCAGTTCTCAACAAGATTGATTTTCGATTCCTCTGGTGACACCAAATACCTTTCCTACCCCGGGATCAACATCTAGCCACCCAAGGACTAAATCTAGATATATAAATGCGTCATCTATGTATCAGTTTAAAATTTTAGATAAAATGGTTCGACAGATGTACATACTAATCTATGCATGATTCTGTGATGTGAAAGTATTACTAATAAGTTTGCGTGCATTATTTTTTGCAAGAATCAAATCGAAAGTCTATTTCAGTGCATCAAACGCAAGCCAAATTTATGTCATGATATGTACTCTGTTTTATATTGAACCATCCGATTTGAAAGCTTGAACTTCGTAGTAATAGACGGATTCAATTGAATGACATCTTTAACTAATCAGTTCAGATATCACGACGAGTTACCTTATCCAAAATAACCGTGTATTATTGAGTAAGTCACAACTAACTAAAAATTGGTAAGAGGACACAATCATGGAACTCTTGGTTGTCACCTAAATGCTTATTATATGAACTTGTCTTTGTCTATTCCACAAAAAATGGTCTATTGAAAGTGTATTCACCATTAGGTTTAAATCAAATATAATTACCCACTATATGTATGGATAAATTGGGTAAAGAACAAAATCTGAACAAAATGAAAATCACTCACGAAGAGGATAATATTTCATCATTTTTTATAAGTTCTTGAGATTGGCTCAATCTGTCACTTGTCACAATCTTCATTGTTTAGTTAACCTTTCAAAAACAAAACTATTTTTAGGTAACAAAAAATTTTTACATTTTTAAAGTAGTCAGACTATAACACAAGGTTCTAAGTACCAGAGAGTGCCTTTCACTAGTCTAACCGTCATGCTCCTATTGGTAGGCTCGTTACTTCAATTAAAGGAACATGAGACCTAGTTGAAGTAACGAGTAACTTACATTTTTTTAATTTTTAATAATAAAGAAGCTATTTATTTAATTATAAGTGAACTTCTTGAGATCAAACAAACATGCCTTTACAAGCATTGAATTGTTAATGTTGAAATTGAGAATAGTTATGAGGCTTGGGTATAAAAGGGAAATGGGAGAGTAGGGGTGTTAAATGAGCAAAATCGAGCTGCTCGGCTCGGTCTACCACCCCCAAGTCGGCTCACTTAAAGGAAGTTGGGCTCAACTCGATTTTTTTTTCTTTTGGAGATCTAAAATTATACTTTCACGTCGACCCTAGATTTTTATTGCTCGGCTCATGAATAGGACGAATCGAGTGGCTCGCGGCTCGTCCCACTTCAATTCCCATATGAGAGTGGACTTTAGGATTTGAGGATAATCATTGGACCAAGGGAGTTAAATATTATGCCCTTACAGCCCATGCCATCAATATACTAGAAATCAATTAACAACTGTTCTTAATAGCGTGGTTTAGCTGGCAATTTGCATCAAGCTACATATACTATGCAATAAAACTGCATTTGATAAGATAGACGACACAATATTGAATTATATTTAGATAGTGTATCGCCTCTATAATTTTTTTCTTTCTTAATTTTAACTGCACATTCTCCAAATAAAATAATATTACATACAAATCTAAAACTTTTCATTATTTTTCAACCACACGTTCTCCCATCAACCACTATTTCAAAATTTTATAATTTCTTTAAAATGGGGCCAAACCACCTCTTATTAATAGTGTGAACATTTTAATTATTTATTACATAGTCGAATCAGATAATAATATATTGTACAAGTTCATTTAGTAGGACGGATTCCTGCGACTTTGGAACGTATTTAAAAAAAGAAAAAACAAGATACTAAGGTTATATTATCGTCAAAATTAAGTATACGCTATACCATACGAGCTACCATATGATCTAATGACAAAGCATCATTTTCCAAAAAAATTCAATAGGTTTTATAAGCTCGATTGATTTACTTGCTAACTGCTCTAACATTGACGTTCAGATAATTTCAGGACTGGGTCACCAATTTTCTAACCCGATCGACTAGTTTGATCTAGAACATTGCATCAAACTCCTAGCTCTTTCAAATTGTATATTTCGCCTGTATACTACCGTAAATCATACATTAAAAATAGAATTTTAGTCGTGTCTTTTTATCTTTTCTGAATTCTTATCTTTTCAAAGAAAATATACAAGTTGCTAGTTCCACTTAGATTTGCTCCATCTTGAGTATGCTTGAGTGGATGTGGGAAGGTCAAGCAGATTCGAAAGAAACATAAAAAATATTAAAAATCAAAAGATTAATTATTCTCTAACAGTTTATGGAGATATTGATATCTTAATTATGAAATGAAATCCATCATTTTGGTCAAAAAGATAAAAAAAAATAAAAAAAATAGAAGAACCACTTACAAAAATAACATCATTTATATGTTGCTTAATCAAGCTTCGTTTAGACGATTTTTAAATATTCAAAAGTTGTTTATGAAATTAAGAAAATATTTTCAACGTATTTTAATAATTTTTCAAAAGTAGTTCGTCTGGTTAAATTTTTTTCAGAGAAAGCTGGTTTAAGGACCTGTTTGGTATGACTTTTGTAAAGCGAAGATGAACTTTTGGAATTCAAAAGTTGCTTTAGACCCATTTAATCACTTTTATAAAAGTATTTCTTCTAATTAGAAGAGTTTAAAAGAAAACCGTTTCAATATGATTTTCTCTAAAAACTTGTCGAGAAGAGAAAGCTATTCTATAAATTAATTTTCAAACACTAGCTTTCCCAGGAAAATCTTCTACACGAAGCAAAATCAAAAGCAAATCTCTTAACAAATGTGCCCTAAAGTAGCTTCATCAAAAAGCCTTTTTACAAAAAATAGAAGTCATGTCAAACGTGCTCTTAATCTCGTCCAATTCAATAATAGAAGTGAACAGTATTATACATGATAACAAAAAAGTTACATTATATATGAAAACATAATTTCTTTTCAATCATATCTCACAACATCATGTGTACGTAAACCACTATATACATGTAGGACAACCAATCCCTAATAATCAAGGCCCCAATGAAAGTAATATGAATAATGCTACGTGTATATAATTGAGTTATATAATGGTTTACATACAGATAAAATGTCAAAAATAATGGATTTTTTTTTTTATTTGATTGAAGAAATTTCGAGTCAATCATATCTCACCACATCATATGTACGTAAACAATTATTTAAATCATTATATACATGTAAAACAACTTAGATAAGATATACATTCCTCTATTCTATCTGCTTTATCCGGTCCCATTTTTATCTCCTAAGCTATCAGTATGTGCAACTCTTGTATACATGCTATAGTCCAAATTGTCTTTAGTAACAATTTATGTGGTACAAAATAGGCAAAGGGTCCCAAAAATATAAATAAATAAATGTGTGCAGGTAATTTTCTTGTGAACGTTGACCAACGCTTCATCAAAATGTACACCGTGTCGTGTTGTATATAATATTGACTCTATTAATTCATATCGTTTTGTGTTATATATGGGGTGAAGCACATATCCCATATCATCAATAGAGTTATTTGTATAACGTTGAGTTATAAAAGTTGGATTACAAAGTGTGTTGGCAAAATTCAGATCGTTGATTTCAAATGATTAATGTAGATATTATTTTATCAACCAACTTTATAACACAACTTTGTACATGTGACATAACTCCCCAGATATAGTCCAGTTTGACCCTCATTTTCTAAAATTTCGAAATCATTTTTAATTACATATTTAATGGGATTCTAAATTTCATTAATTTTTTTACCACGTATTTTATGAACTTTTATAAAAATCATCAAAAATATGATTTTTAACTAAACCAAACAAGGGCATAATAAGATGTAATTGAAATTAATTGTCAATTTCATGAAAAATATTTGCAAAGTTTACTATTTATACAATAAACATTAATCATGAGTTTTCATAAAAAGGAAATGGAAAATTTCAAATCATATTTATAGTTCACATTTCCTCTTCATTTGACAAAATTTGAAAAACCCACAAATAAATTAAAAAATAGAGGAGAAAATCAATAAAATTTTGGTACATATTTATCATTTCATCTAAAAATTTAAAGTTATTAACGTAGAAATTAAATATTTTCGATTAAAAATTTGACAAGTGTATAATTTTCATTAATTAAAGATAATTATAAAGAGTATCTACACGTATTTTTTGTGTGGTAAAGTTTTGGATACGATGAAAATTAAGATTAAACGTTAACTTTAACTTAAATTTTAATTATTTTATTAATGCAAACAATGCATTTAAAATTGGGTAATTGGCGCAAAACGTTCCTACCTTTGAAGGGTTGTGTGGAAAACATCCCTACGTTTGATTTTTTGGAGCACAACGTCCCTACCGTTCAAGTTTATTGTAGAAAACATCCGTACGTTTGATTTTTTTGGCACAAAACGTCCCTACCTTCTGCATTTCTTTGCATTGAACGTCCTTTACACATTTTTTTTAATTGAAAATGACCAATATACCCTCCTGTGTAAATAGAACAAGAAAAGAAAGAAAAGAAAAATAAAAAAGAAATTGCAACTATAGGCCTGAACTTTTTAAAATGTCCAAATAACCACCATATCTTTCAAAACCCAACTTAAAAAATCAGATGCAAGGTTTGTTTCAAATTTCAAAACTTAAGAAAACATTTTTCAAATTTTTATTAAAATAATCGCCGCCCACAAGCCCACAAATATTCATCGTTCTTTCAAATATTGTACGAAAACAAGAAAGGAAACAAACAAGAGGCAAAAGAAAAAAGAAAGAAAAGAAAAGAAAATACACAAGCACGCGGAGAGAACAAAATTGATGTTTCTCTCAAAAACCACGAAATTGATCGAGCTCAGAGCTGAATTGGCCTTGACCTATGGGCAAGGGGCGTCAGGTAGTGGGGAGTCATTCCCAGGTGGTCCACCATCTTGATTCAGCCGGACGGCGCCGGAATCAGCAGAAGAAATTCCCGGTTTACGCTGCTCGCGACAGGCGGAGCTTCTGGGTTTAATTCGAACTAATGAATTGATGTTTGGGCTGAATTGTTTCCATGGGTAGGGTCGTCCAAGGGTAGGTTATCAACCGGTGGTTGGGCCCGGCCAATTTGGTTGCCGGAAACGGGGGATTCCGACAGTTTGCAAAAATTGGGCAGCGAACTTTGAACTCCATTTCCGGCCAGATTACAACGAGTTAGAGGGAGTTCTTTGGATGGAATTGAAGAGGAAGATGTGCTCTTTCCAGTAGTAGCAATATCCTGTGGTTTTGAAGGCGGTAGATTGCCGGAATTCTCGGCCAAAAGGGTGCAAAAATTGCCCCTTAGTTCGGTCAGATTTTGAAAGATAGGGCGGTTATTTGCACATTTTAAAAAGTTCAGGTCTATAGTTGCAATTTCTTTTTTATTTTTCTTTTCTTTCTTCTCTTGTTCTATTTACATAGGAGGGTATATTGGTCATTTTCAATTAAAAAAATGTGTAAAGGACGTTCAGTGCAAAGGAATGCAGAAGGTATGGACGTTTTGTGCCAAAAAATCAAACGTAGGGATGTTTTCTACAATAAACTTGAAAGACAGGGACGTTGTGCGCCAAAAAATCAAACGTGAGGGTGTTTTCCATACAACCCTTCAAAGGTAGGGACGTTTTGCGCCAAATACCCTTTAAAATTTATGTGTAATTTTTCATTGTAAATTACAATAGTTATATTTCAAAGCTCATCATCCACTGTCATCTAGCTCAGGCTCTCCAAATGTTCTTACACAAAGGATTGCCCAACACTCTCTCCTCCTCCCTGCCACCCACCACAACCCACCCCACCCATTTCTCTCTCTCTCTCTCTTACCCATTTTTTTTATATAAATATAAAAATAATATCCGCCCCTCATCCCAGCTAAGGAATTCCATTTCTTTTGATTTGGAATAACCAAGAAAAAGAAAGGAAGAGGACCTTTGGGGAGAGCTAGAGAGAGAGAGAAGAAAATGAGAGGATGAGCACATCCTCTGTCTTCATTTATGTATAATTTCTCTCCTTAGATCTTAGTTTTTAATCAGATTTTCCCATCTGGGCTCCCCCTTCCAATGGTCAGTTTTTAAATTGAATTTGGAGAATTATTGCAATCTTTTCCTTTTTCATCGATCGGTTTATGCATCTGAATTATGGGTTTTCAGGATAGCGAGATTGAATCTTGATTGATGAATGTAGGATCCGATGATTTACAATTAAATCCAACATTTTCACTAGCTAATTGATCAGTATCGGTACTACTTTCTACCTGATTTTCTGGACAAGGTGTGATATTTATTGTTCACTGGCTTGTAGATCTATTTGAATTAGTTTTTACTATTTGTCTTTTGAATTTCCTGGATAATTAAAATCGATATTTGCACCAATTCATCTCATTTTGAATTCACCCATACATTTCATAGGATCAGAGAATTATTTGCTGCTCAATCCATATTCAGTTGTGCCTATTCGGTTTGCAAGTATTATTTTTCTTTTTCATTTCCTACCTAAATTGTTTAGGATGTTGGAAGTTTTAATGAAATTTGTGGCAACTGAATATGCAATTGCAGGAAAGATGGAATCAGATCAAGGTAAGCTATTTATTGGTGGGATTTCTTGGGACACAGATGAGGATCGCCTTAAAGAATATTTTGGAGCATATGGAGAAGTGATGGAGGCAGTGATCATGAGAGATCGTACCACCGGCCGTGCTCGTGGCTTTGGTTTTGTGGTCTTCATTGATCCTGCAGTTGCTGAAAGAGTCGTTAAGGAGAAGCACGTGATTGATGGACGAACGGTGAGTAGTTTATTTTTGTATAATAGATATTACAATGTATTGAAAATGCAGTAGTACGCTATGCCCGTTACTCGTTTTTCCATTGCTGAAAGTGCCTTAATGCTTTCTGTGTAGATTCAATTTACCAATTTCTAGTTTCAATAGAGCAACAAACCTGCAGCTTTCTAGCTGAAAATGGATAACAAGAAACTTTTCTCTTTGGACTTACTAAGTTTAAGATTTTCTTCTTTTTGTGTCCATGAAATGGGCAATTTATTTATTGTATTTCAAATTTCAGGTGGAAGCAAAGAAAGCTGTTCCGAGGGATGATCAGCACCTGATGTATAGAAATAGTAGTAACAGTCAAGGATCACCAGGTCCAGGACGCACTAAAAAAATATTTGTAGGAGGACTAGCATCAACTGTCACGGAGAGTGACTTTAAAAATTATTTTGATCAATTTGGAACCATAACTGACGTGGTAGTCATGTATGACCACAATACTCAGAGACCTCGAGGTTTTGGGTTCATAACATATGATTCAGAAGATGCAGTCGATAGGGTGTTGCACAAAACATTTCACGAACTCAATGGTAAGATGGTTGAGGTGAAGCGGGCAGTTCCAAAAGACTTGTCTCCAGGACCCAGCAGAAGCCCTCTTGTTGGATACAACTATGGTTTCGGTAGAGCCAACAACTTTCTAAATAGCTATGTACAAGGATATAATCTCAGCTCACTGGGCGGCTATGGAGTAAGGACAGACGGTAGATATAGTCCATTAGCTGGAGCTCGAGCTGGGCTCTCCCAATTCGGTTCTCCGGCTTATGGAATGGGCTTGAATATGGATCAAGGGTTGAATTCTGGCTTTGGAGGGGGTTCAAACTTAAGTAGCAATCTTGGCTACGGGCGCATTATAAACCCTTATTTTGGTGGTAATCAGAGCAGGTATAATACTCCTATTGGTTACAATACAAGTAGTAGCCGAGGAGATTCCCTTTTCAACTCTTCTCCCCGAAACGTGTGGGGGAATACTGGACTGAGTACTTCTCCAAGTAATGCAAACTCCGGATCATACTTTGGCTCCGGAAGTGACAGTTTTGGAGTGTTTGGAAATAATGGTGCAAATTGGGGCACTTCTCATATTGCCGCTACCCTTGGGGGTAGTTCTTCTGGTTTTGGAGGAGGAAATGTTGGCTATAGAGGTGGAGGAAACAGTTTTTCATTGGCAGCCGAACGATTTGGAAGAAATGGTGGAACAGCTGTATCCACAGCATCTTCACTTACTGCATCGGCCGGTGGTTATGAGGGATCTTATGGGGATTTTTACCGAAGTGGCTCGGTGTATGGGGATCCAACTTGGCAAACCACATCTTCTGAGCTAAATAATTCTGGTTCATTTGGTTATGGACTTGGGAATCCAGAAGACGTCGCTGCTAAAGAATCCGAGGATTATGTGGTGGGTTATGACATTACAAATAGACAATCCAATAGAGGTAATACTGTTCATCCTACTTTCCATTTCTTGTGCTAAAGATTCAGATATTGTTTTTTTCCTGAAAACATGCGCTGTTTCTATAGAAACTAGAATTGAATAATATAATTATTTTCCTAGATATGTTAGAAATAGGATAACATAACTCACACAATGAGAACATATTTTACTTCTTGACATTAGCTTAAAAGAAGCATCATGTGGAACTGACTTTTGTTTGACAGTATCTAAGTTCAAATCTTTACTCTTTCTTGATTTGCAGAAATATCATAAAACTCTTGAATATAATTCTTATTCAATTTGCGGAAATGTCATAGAAGTCGTCAGTTTAATTTAATTACCCTGCTCACCATTTTCTCTTATCATATTAATAAAAACTAAAATTGATCCAACTAATAAGAGAAGCATGAAGGAATTAGTGATACTTCTTTTTTTTGTTCTTCTGTTATGGTTCTTCAGTCTTTGGTCTCAATGCCATTGCCAGCCCGATGAAATTAAAAAATGTCACAATTGCTCAAGGATAGAAATTTTTGAATAGAGACTGAAAATTTGCTGGTATAACTATTGTAACAATATGGGAAATACTTCAATACATATCTAGATGTATGTAAAATGTACTTTAAACTAATTGCGTGTTCTACGTGGTCTGTGTTGGTATTTAATAATTATTTTTAAAATATTTGAGCCTTGGGAGTGAAAATCACCGGTTTTGATATGAGAAGGTCCTTTTTGTTGTTTATTGGTACTTGGTACTGAAATTTAGTTATGTTCCCACCATATGAGTTTTTTTTTTTGCATTGTAAGAGTCGAGACATTATATTAATATCTTGATTTTGTTTTCGTAGGAAAATTATGAATAAGAATTGCTTGTTCGATAAATTACTTCTTTGGACTAATTTGTAGCTTTGCTATCGTAACTTACGAAAATACTCAAATCTGAAAATACTAAAATAAAACTAATTTCATATTATATATTTTGAAATACTAATGCTTCTATGACATCAAAATTTTAGTTATATAGTTATTCTCTCATGCATTACGTGATAACCACAATTTTTCATTCATAATCTAGCTTATGATAATTTATTTGATAAAAAGTTCTATGCACAGAAATTTGAAAGTAGTCTAGAAGTAACGCGTTAAACATAAGTGATGTAGCATGAATTATATCGGTTTTTGTCCAAATAAGTTGAACTTCCAATAATTGTGCTTGTGTTATGATTTGTTTCAATGACTCAGATAAATTACAGCCCCATTTAGTAAAAACACATTGATAGCGACGAGTTTTTAGGCACCTGTAAAGGAGTTATTACAGAACTTAGAAGTATACACGATGAACAATTTAGTTATACATATCCTTCAACATATCAAATATTATTCCGATAAATTAATGTTTTTAATGGCTTCTTCAGGAATTGCTACGTAGGAAATTTCAGTATTTGGATATCTGAAGAAAATTGTAGGAGAAGAAACTCCTGAAAAAACACGTGGTTGTGAATTTCATGCGTATCCCTTATATACATATACCATGTCAGTCAATGAAGCTAACGGGGGAGCTTAACTCAAAGTATACGTGCTCAGTGGAAGCAGTTTCAAGGGATTTTATGCAGTTATGCGGTTTAATTTCTAAATATAACTTAGTTTCTTTTCTCTGTATTTGCTTGAGATGTAAATCAGATTTGCGAGATATACTCTGGAGGATCCATTCTAGTTAATTTGTCGAGCGTCTCTTCAACAAGAAAGTACCACTCGTATAACATCAAAAGGTAGAGGATTTTTTTCGTATTCTTATTGTTTTGAACTTGTCGGAGTTACTGGCGTGATATATAAGAAGGATACCGGCTTAGGTTCCCCTTTAATAAAATACTGAGTGTTTTTATTCATTTTACTGGATTTTCGACCAGTTTAAAACTTCATTTGAGTTGTAATAGATTATGTGTAAGAAACACACTTCATGTTTGATTTTTTCAGTTGCCTAGGTTTATAAATGATGTGTTCATGCTGTCTTCTTCTGGTTTTTACTGATGTTACACAGGTTTATTTTGATTTATGCGCATTAGTTTCAAAATTGTGTTCTGCTATTGTGAGTCTGTGACCATCGCGCTCAAGACTTTCTACGATTTTAGTGAGATAACTCACAGAATAGTCTCGGCACTTAAGTGTCTTGATAAATTGGGCCCCGTTGAGANACATTGTGTCAAAGATTGTGTACACTTATTATGTACACTTAGCATTTTCCTTTTATGATTTCCTACGAGATCATTTTCAATCACCCGTGATAAAATATTCTACACATATATCAAAAAAATTCCTATTTTTTAATCACACATTCTCCAAAAAAATTACTATTCAAAACTTTTCTTTTCTACGATAATGGTTGCCAAACAAACTCTAAAGGTTATAGATTCGAGATTCAGATGGTGGAGACGTTTTTACTTTTTACCATCTTTTGTTGTTCTCTACTTTTTCTGGATTTAACACTTGTTTGGTCTTTATTATTTTTAAAATATATTTTTCCCTATCTTATTTTCAATTACACATTTTTAATAAAATAATATTACATGCAAATTCAAAAAAAATTCTTTACATTTTAACCTCATATTTTCCATTAAAATATTATTTCAAAGTGTATTTTGGAGAAAAAATGGGGCTCAAACATGCTTTTAATTTAACGTATTGTCACTGAAGTTTGTGCAAAATTTTAAATTGGTCGTTCAAATATTTTTTCTCACTCATTGTCACTAAGGTTTAATCTAACGTATAATCGGATAATCTAACGTATTATCGGATAAATTTCAAGTTGGTCCTAGTGAAAAACTAGTAAAATCCTAGGTCCATGTTTGATTCGGCTAAGAATCAATACTAAAATTTAAGTCGAAGCCCACAGTTAGCCCCGATTTGGTCCCCATCACTTCAAATTATAATTTTTGAAATAGTTTTTTTTTTCTTGGAGTGTGTGTGGTTAAAAAAGAATTAATTTTTTTTTTGTTTTCATGTAATATTATTTTATGAAAGATTGTTTGGTTGAAAATAAAAGAAAGAAAAATAATTTTTTGGGATAATGTGAGTCAAACAGGGGCTTAATTTTAACTCCAAGGACTCTCAATTCGGTTTTTAAATCTTCATATATAATATTTAAGCTTTCAACCCTCCAATCTTATTTGTTACTCTTTTAAAGTATAAACTATAGTTAGTTTGTGGCATCTCGAGAACAAATTAAGAACCTTGAAAACAAAACTAGGACTCCCAATTGTTAAAGAAGAACGAGAAAAAATCAAGAGAGCATAATCTCTCCTCTCTCTACTACAAGGGACGACCAAGACATGCCAAAAATGTAATCTCGTTTCAATCAATCTTTATTTTCTATTTTTGTTCTTTTTCCACATATAGACCCTAAATTATTATTACTTGTGCAATTTGGTCCTGATCTTTTACGCAAACTATTAAATGAACTTGATTGGACTTATCTAATTTACATTACATAATTATTTACAGTCAAGTCAATTCGAGAATGCTCGGTATAATTATTAATTTTTGTTTCTTCCACTATGGACGAGATCATGGGCTTATAGAATACATAAAAATCTATTCGGACGTCAAATAATTAGATCAAGGCGAAATAACTGTTATGTAGTTATTTTCTCACCTATGGCTCACAATCTTAATCGGTTTCTTTGTGATATAATCATAGAATTAATAATTTGGATGACCCCAAATACTGAGCTCGAGTTTCAACTATTCTTCGAAGAAAATACTCAAGTTGACTTTATTTAAACATAATCACGAATTTCAAACTCGAACGCGTTCTCAATACTTCAGTTATCATTAATTCCCAACATATCAGGATATTGATCATCACTAAATGACTTTACTCATTGACATATCAAAGAATCTCGAGCCCACGAATATCAACCACTATCCAATTACAAATTATGTAATCCATTAGACGATAACGTACGATTAATTTCTTTAGCACGGTCCGCTATAAATTAATCAACACTTTATTTGGTCCGATTCAATACACATACATGTTTACTAGTGTTATTACTCCTGAACGTATAGTCTCCACGATCAAGATAAAATGCATATTCCAATTGTTAAGAGTGATATCCATTATCCAAATAGAATGCCAACATCTACAAGTCAATATTGGTGGCGTGTTCGGTAGAGATTAAAATTGAAAAACTAGTCGTTATTGTTGACTTTTATTAGATGAATGAGACCCAATAACGACTATATTTTCAATTTTAATTAGATTTTAAGCCCTACCAAATATGCTCTGGATAAATTATAATAGAAATATAAGTTACATCTCATATACATTTTTAGCAAATCATAACTTATATTATCGCAAAGCGATTGGATCTATAACTGTTTACTTTAACATGTAATAAAAAATTAACTCAAAATAAATCAATATTTATTTATTAATAAACAACACAAAATGTTTCTAGATTACAATTATCTCCTAACATTATTGCGTACGGATAGATGATATAGGGGGAGAGAGAGATTTTAATAACCGAGTTTCTTTTCTTTTTTTCCTCTTTCTCTCTTTTTCATATCATATATCTGCACACCATTGTGCAAACAATGATATATAAATAACATTGCTCCGCTCTAAAATTGTCTTGTAAGTTGTAACTATGCCCCTGTTTGAGTCAAATTAAAATTTTCATTTTCATTATTCTACTCATTTTTAACCACACATTATTCAATAAAATAATATTTTCAACCACATTAATAACTTTTTTTTCCTTTTCAACCACGCATTCTACATTAATCTATTATTCCAAACTACATTCTTCTAAAATAATATGGCTCAAATACACCCATATATTTTTATGACAAAGATGTACAGATAGATGGTTATACGTTTTGTTTTCATTAAAATTGACAATGTATCCCTTAGACCCACATGATCACAAAAGGATAAAAACCAAAAAAGGTTAAACTATCCATTATTATATCAATACAAATAAATCGACTCTTTCAAGCCCGTATTTGGTTCGGATTAAAATCTGATTTTAATCCAAATCAAAGTCAAACAATCAATATTAACTACATATTTCATGGGTCCCACAACTTTCCAATCACATATTTCAAAAACATCTATCGCAATCTATTAAAAATCTAATTTTAATCCCCACCAAACACTCACATTGATGGCGGAATTTGAATATTACAACCTTACAACCATAATCACTTACCTTAATTATGAAAACTAATTATTAATTAAAAATCAAGAACAAGATTGCAAAAGATAATATTTAATTTCCAAATTTTAAACCCAAGATTTCGTTTCCATTTATAAATTAAAACTTTCTCTTCAATAAAAAACCCCATTACAGACTCTTTGTTTTCGTTCGTTAATCTGAGAGAGCTATTTTCAATGGATCCCATTTCTGGACTCCAGCAAGTGAAGAAATATTATCCATTCATGGTTAAATAATTATTTATTCTATTCACATGCCTCTTTTTTATATGAATTTCTGCAAAAAAATAAAAATAAAAATTCACCCTATTTAATTTCTTTGATTATGATCTTGCAGACTTGTATTGTGAAGGTGAATACGAAAACTCAATGGCCAAAGACCGTTGCAAAAATTTTGAGCAAGATTCAAGGTCTGTTTTCGTATAGTTACGCTCGATTCGACGTACCAAATAGAATAGGAGTATATTTGTAAAATTAAAGAAGAAGCAAAAGTTACTCGTCGTGTCCGTTGTGATGTTCGATATTACGTGTTAATCTATTTCTGAATGTGATTTTATCTAGGGGTACAAAATTTCAGAATGGATCTTGAGGGACATGTTGAAATTTCTGGTACAGTGGATCCAGATTTACTCTTAAAATTGCTTGGAAAATCAGGGAGAAAAGCACGATTATGTTGGTTCCAGTATGGAGAGTGTTCAAGCAATTTATTTATGTCGAATCGCACAGCCAATGTAGCGCCTGAAAGCTATGGACGGTATTTTGAACATTCTCATCTGAAATCTTAAATATCTCTGTATTGTACGTTTACGCGTGTGTTGGATTCAATTTTCTTTGACTCGAACAGATATATCCAAAATGGAAATCCTCCTCGACCCAAGCTGCCATCAAATGATGATCGCAATCCCAAACATGTTGATCCCAACTCTCATGACCGGATGCTGAATTTTGAGCGTGCTCATGAGCATTTGCATGATCACAAGCCGCCGCCGCCGCCGTTGTCGCTTGCTCCGAGAACGAAACTTCCGCCTCGTGCGCCACCCGACACTCGTGATCATACGCTGACTTTCGAGCAGGCTCATGAACACTTGCAAGATCTTAAGTCTTTGCCCCCTCCACCGAGAACTAATGCTAATTCGGAACCTGGCCAGCTTTCGGCGCTTCGTGTGCCACCCCTTAGCGGTGAAGACATCAACTGCTGCAACTTGATGTGAGGTTCAACACCATGTTGCATTACCACAATGTTGTTGAGTACTTGAGTGTATAGGTCCTTGCATTTAGCTCTACAAGTTTGTGAACTTTTTAATTTTTTTTTTATTTTCTACTTGTGAATGGATTAAATATTTCATGGAATATTTGGGTATAGAGAAGAGGAATTATAAATCTTATTCATTAAATTCAAAATCTAGAGTTTTTCGTATTTCTCGGAATGTAGCATATATCTAAAGTTGCTTTACATTTGTTGTGTTTTTTTAGTTGGTTGTTTCCTATATAGTATGTTTCGCATGCTACGGCTTTTCAGGGAAAATAATTGCCTAAAATTTGTTTTTCAGAAAATTGTTAATTATATGTGTTTGATTGGTATAATTTTCCACCCGTAAAATTTTTAAATTTTGTGTTCGTTTGACTTTGTTTTAATGGAAATTGTCCATTAAAGTGATAATTTCTTTTCTTCAATTGGATCTAGAATTTGTAATAATTGTCAAAAAAAAAATAATAATAATAATAATTGAAAAAAATTATCATACATAATTTCCAGGGAATTGTTAATTATGTGTGTTTGATTGGTATAATTTTCCACCCGTAAATTTTTTAAATTTTGTGTTCGTTTGACTTTGTTTTTTATATGGAAATTGTCCATTAAAGTGATATTTTTTTCCACAATTGGTTATAAAATTGTTTCCATTGCCAAAAAGTAAAAAAAAAAAAAAAACTAAATTTTTTCCTAAAAAATCATTTTTTCAATTAAAGTTTAGTGTTCGTTTGACTTTATTTTATATGAATATTGTCCATTAAAGTAAAAAAAATTTTACAATTGATTATTAAATTTATTTCCATTTCAAAAAAAAAAAAATTGTGGAAAATCAAGGAAAATGGGCGCGTGGGGGTGGGAAAATATTGTCTATTAAACAACCTAAAAGCAAGAAAATAGAATTTTTTTTTCCAACTTCCATGGAATAAATGGCTTATCAAACGGTGCCTTACAGAAAAAACTCCAAGAATTCCTATAGTTTTTGTGGGTCTATTTTTAATTTAAAACAATATGAGGAGCTCAAATGAGACAAAACAAAGATCTGGGGACTCATCTGTAATAAAATTATAAAATGGCATAAAAGGACCGAGTGGATGAAGTAAAACAAAGGCAAAACATTATTCCAATTTCCAAACAAAAGTGGGGAGGGGCAATATTGTCAATTACCTCAACTAGGGTTTTGAGAGTGATGTATAAAAACCCTTCTGACCTTAATTCTCTTTATCCGCCTTACAGGGTTTGCATTTTGGACTGCCGTTCGGGCAATTGGGGATTAAACGGAACACTAGGAACCACCGCCGGCAACCATGGGTAAAAGATCAATTAATTTAGTTCAAATGCCTTTAACGATTAATCTTAATCTGGGAAGGAAAAATGTGAACGAAACTGTTATCGTATGCAGGTATTTCACGGGATTCGATGCACAAGAGGCGTGCAACTGGAGGCAAGAAGAAGGCCTGGAGGAAGAAGAGAAAGTAGGTTTCATAGGTGTTCCCTTCCTAGTTACTGTAAATCCTTAATCGCATTGGCAGTTATTCTGAGCTATTAGGTTTCCGTGTTCGGTGTGTACATAGATTAGTCCTGTGCTCAAAACTCTTTGTTGGATTATTTATTGTAATTCTCTATGTGGTTTTTTAATGTCTGTTTAATTGCATTTTAAGTTTTGAGTACTCTATTTAGAGGAAGAACTTCTTCAACAAAAGCAATCGCAGCTCCTAGGCGTTAAGGTTAGTCGGAAGGGGAAGATTACCTTTCGTGAACAGCTATGCTCGAGAATGAATGAATTGTGATAATTGGGATTTGATGATATTTTATTTAAAATTTGTGACTTTTTCTGTTCCGTTGTGTGATTGATAGGTGCCTTCCTAATTATGAATTGAATTTGTGTGAAATATGTTCATTTTCTAGATAATGTGTTACCTATTGCCATAGCAATCCACAACTTCTCTGAATTGGTGCCATCTGTTACGCCAGATTCTTGTTTCAATGTTTGAACTCAACTTCAGAATAAATTTGTCTTTTAATTGAATGTTGATGGATTTTGATTATGAACTACTAATCCATACATGCAAACATAACTGTTGTTTTGGTTGATAGGTATTTACTGGCTTGAGAGTATGATTTTGAAATATTTTTACGTGGACATTACAATGGAGATCTATTTTACTTGTCTTAATACTGGATCCATTATGCATCTAAAATATCTTTTGATTAATAATCTTATTTTAAGGTATGAGCTTGGAAGACAACCAGCAAACACAAAGTTGTCAAGTAACAAGACCGTGCGTAGGGTGAGGGTCAGAGGAGGTAATGTGAAGTGGCGTGCTCTGAGGCTGGATACTGGGAACTACTCTTGGGGAAGTGAAGCTGTGACCCGGAAAACTCGTATTCTAGATGTGGTGTATAATGCATCCAATAATGAGTTGGTGAGGACCCAAACTTTGGTGAAGAGTGCTATTGTGCAAGTGGATGCTGCACCATTCAAGCAGTGGTATCTGCAGCACTATGGAGTTGATATTGGTAGGAAGAAGAAGGCTGCTGCCAAGAAGGAATCAGAGGTAGGAACTTTCGTAGTTCATTCTTGCTTTAATGATTACATTACTTTATAGTTCTCTTTCAGTTGTCATAATTGTATGCTAGGTTACTAGGTTCTTTTATATCTCAAGGCTCTATGATTGACGAATTTACTAGTATGCCACTATGCCTGTTAGCAACTGAACTATGTATCCAGCATAGATGCTGTAAATAAATCTTGCTTGCAGTTATATCAGCTAATGTTGGACGCACAATAAGTGTTCTTAAGATGCGGGGAACTAGTCGCTAAAAAAGTCTGTTATAACTAGATAAGTATCAAGAACAGTGGATAATATAGCATATTGCATTCTTTATTTGTAAAATTGTTGTTTGATTACAGAAAGTAACAGTTTTCTGAAAGGGAAGATTTTGTAGCCTAATATTGGGAGGAAACAATTTTATGAACTTCATTTGCATTATCTAAAAGGGATAAAACAAAAATAGATAAAAGAGAGTAGTACTTATTGTCCATTCTTTTGATTCATAATGTTTGAATGGGCTTCAGGAGACTGAGACTGCTGCTACTGAAGAGGCAAAGAAGAGCAACCACGTCAAGAGAAAAATTGAAAAGCGTCAACAGGATCGTAAACTTGACCCACATGTGGAGGAGCAATTTGGCAGTGGCCGTTTATTAGCTGCAATCTCCTCACGTCCTGGCCAGTGTGGCCGTGCTGATGGGTATGTCTTATCCTCTGAATCTCTTCTACGTCTCGTCCTCAGCTTCAGTCCAAACAAATGTTATAGCAGCATCATGTATACTTATAGTTTCACTTTGGTACTGTCTATTCTTGTTGATATGAACTCCCCAGACATTGATTTTTATCTTTATAGTCAATTTACTTGCTTGAGTTTGAACATGTTTGTTGAGCTGGATATGAAATGAGTATATTTTTCGTGGACAATAAAACATGCACGCTTAATTATATTTAAAGCTTCATTGATGTCAAAATGTGTGTATTACTCTACGTGTACAGAAAATAATTGGCCAGAAAACCAACAGAATACAAACATAGATGGGGCCCGTCATTTTCTTTTCAATATTTTATTCACATGGGGCCCACACCCCATGTGAGATTCTGTTGGTTTTCTGGCAAAAAATTTCTGTACATATACCTTTTTCCTACATATATTATTTTGTGATATATCTACATGTATAAGATACTGCTATCACTGCAGTCTGCTGACTTTGAACCTTATCCTCTGTACTACATAGCTGATAAATTTTCGTTGTATGAAGTTTTGTGGGCATAATTTCGCCATTCTTCAAGCTATTACTTAAATTTGATTTGCAAGAAGTTCGTAGAGCTTTTAGGTTTGCTAGGTTTATGTATTGGGAATATTCTTCAATATGCAATTTATAGTTCTTTTATTGTTATTATTCTATTAGATTTTATCGAATGTATTTTGATCAGGTATATTTTGGAGGGCAAAGAGTTGGAGTTTTACATGAAGAAACTCCAGAGGAAGAAAGGGAAGGGTGCTGGTGCTGCCTAAACCTGTGTTGGTCATGTAAAAGTTTCCCACCCAAAATCTTGCCCTCGGTTTTTCTTTGCTATGGGATGAGTAGAAGTTTGCTTGAGCTTTCTAGTGTTGGATTGAACTATTTAATTGTTACACTAGTGGATTTTTCGAGGAGGATTATGTTCATTTTTAAAGAAATGTTTTGAATTGTGTTGTTGGTAAACCATCACTCGAGTATACTATGTTCGTTTTATATTTTCTACCTATCCACCTACATACTTTGTGTGTTTTTGAGTACATCAAGCATCGTCTAAATTTTCCTTTTCTGAGGGGGAAGAGAGAGAAGAAAAACTACGAGCATAAATTGAGATTCCTCTAGTCACATGTAGAATGGCATTTGGAGATATGCATGTCATTATTAATAGCATCTTTTTGTTGGTAAAATTCATGGGTCTTGCCCATGCTTTTAATTCTCTTTACAAAATTATTTGATTTACTTCTACTCTCTCTACACTCTTTTAAACCATATTATTTTCGACTTTCGTGATTCATCCCTTCGTCTCCTAGCATTCGTTTTCTCATTATTATGACAACATTTTTGTGTTGAACTTCATGAATTGCCAATGTATAGCTCGATATGGTCATATATTAATAATAATTCAAATTATAGGATAGTCTAAATTGTTGGATACTAAGTTCAATGTTAAATATTTGAAGTGTATCATTTTAATATGAAATTGTTAAAATTATGTTAAATATTTGAAGTGTATCATTTTAATATGAAATTGTTAAAATTAATCTTTTATATGAAAGCTGAACCAAATAAAATTCAATCGTGAATAAAGAAAACCCATTTCAAATTCTATGAATCAATTGCTGAAATTTTATAATTTTTCTTCATTAGCTAAAATTTCAATTTTTTTATAAATACATTGCGCATTGTTGAATCATAACAATAACCTTTTTCAACTCAAATTGAATCATAACAGCAAAATAAAAGATAAAGATTTTCTGTTCATGTAGCATTGTTGAAGACACAATTTAAGCCAAGTCGACATTATATGGTGCAATAGATTTGAATTCATCAAAGCCCACCATCATCCCTTTAACAAAAAATGAGCAAATGAGCGCGTGTTTGTCGAATGTTTAAATACACGACACATCTCTACAAGTTTAAGTTTTTGGATAAAATGTTAACCAGCTTCAGAATTCACTGAAATGTAAATAAGAGTGATTGTAATGTGCAAGTTTTGGGTAAATGTTCTCGTACACAGTAATTGCCACCAACAAAATTTACAACACGAACAAGAGATGTCATTCAATGGAAAGAATAAATCACACCCATGTTCTCATTAGCTAACTTCCAATCTCCTCTGCAAGTATCCCATACAAACAAATACAGTGAAAAGAATAGAAGTACCTACAAATTCAACAACGAAAAATCGTGGCCAAAGTGTCCGATGCTCGACTCCTAAATGTCCAGTGAGGTCAATTACAGATATGGAAACAAGGGTCATCGAGGATGTCTCAGCAAAGCAAAAGGGTTGCCAGGACAGCAATGCTACTTAGGATCATGCTTGCAACAATTGTAGGCTGTCCATTTCGTGTGGTGGGACCTGGTGCCATAGAGCCATTGCCAGTGTTTCTTGTCGGGGGCTTCTTCACAACGGGAGGTAGAGGAGGTTCAATCACGTCACTCTCTGACAGGACAGGGTTTGGAGCCTCGGCTGGTGGCAAATCTTGAGGTGCCATAAGGGTAATAAGGCCGCCAGGTTGCACAGGGCTCATGTATAGTGGCAAATCTCTATACCCTAAACATCGATTCCCTGGGAATAGTACACAATAGCAAATACTATAAGCACGGGAAGTGTTGAGAGGGTGTGTTAATGACGTCCAAGCAGGAGTAACTTTTCAGCTAAGAAACCAGAAAAAAAAATGTCTCGATCCATCTTCTCAAGTAATGAAGTCGGCTAAAAGTTGATCAGAAATGTGAATGAAAGCATGCTAAGCTCAAGCCTAAGAGAGCGATTAGAGGTGATCTTTAGGTGACATCAAATACATTTGAGTTCAAAAAACCTAAAGAATTGCAATGGATACTGACATACTGAAAAACTGGATAGATATGGCTTAGATTACTCCTAAGAGAACAGACTGCATAAATGAAAAAGGAAATAAATAAACACGTTTCCTAATAAACTTACTTCTATATTTAGCTGCTGTAGCCGGGTAGTCCGTTATGACACCATTAATTTCCATGAAAGAAACATGTGTGTTGATCTCCACGTAAGCATCCGAGAAGAAATCCCATGGTTGAGACACAACCTCATTTCTGAAATTTTTCACATAAACAGGGAATCCAAAGGCCTGGAACTTAGGGACCACATCCGTTTGCAAGGTGAGAAATGCCTCATCAGTAGGAAATACGGATCCTTTCGTGATGACTACAGAACTGGCAAACTTTTTGATCTCCAAAATTGTTGAGTTTGTAATGTCACGGATATCCACATCGATCACGTAAACAAGCTCATAATTGTGGCTATTCTTGAACTTATTCAAAACAGCACTATCACTAGATTTTACCATAATTTTCTTAGCTGTCCGATTATGATAACCAGCTTTGTTCAAAGCATCCAAAACTGCATCAATTACACCTAGGCCCTGTTTCTCGGCTAGGTAAGCAGCATTCTGTTAAAAAGGACCCAGAATGAGATATGGTGATTTAAACCCAACAACAGATCAACCAAAATGTATGCAAGAATGAATAGTATGTCCAATCATGGTTTGAAGACTGGTAAATTGTATCCAGAACAGGCACTGGCATTTACAAATGCAAGAGCAAGACACGTGGAATTAGGTTTTGATTTGAATTGACTCATCATCTTGGCAATCCTCGGCCAACGAGCATGTGGTCTCACACAAGATGTGTGGAGCATGCTGGTCTTACTTGATGTATTGCTTGCCGAACCATTATACGAAACAGGGAACGTGTCGAGCATATTATTTATTCTAAAACAAACTTAATTAGTTTAAATAAAAATTTTAAGCTAAACATACTCACACTATCGAGCAATGAACCATTACAAGAGACAGTGAACAAGTTATGTCAGGATATTATTTATTCTAAAACTTGTTCACTAATTATTGCGCGATGAACAATTACAAGAAACAGCAAACACGAGCATATAGTATAGGTCTACACCATGGTGTAGAACCTAATAAAGAGACACTAAAGCAACTGACTATTGGGAGGACATACAGTATTAGATATGTTTCTGAATGACACTCTTCTCCTCGACGAGAACAACAGAGCTGAGACTGACTTTATGATAGTATTTATTGTTTCTTCTATCATCAATTTTCTACAGAGATAATAGTTCTCATATTGTAGTACAAAATTCGTGAAAACCAAATGGTAGTAAAATTTCTGATTGGAAAATGAATAAAAGCTTCATGAATTTACGCTTTCTTATTTTCTTTCAGATAAACTTCTCTCTAACCATCCATTCATCTGCATTGAGATGGTCTCAATTTTTGCAAGTAGATCGTGCTTAAGATTTAGAGTCAGAAAACTTCGTTTATTGGAAATTAAGTTAAACGTTTACAAGATCATATTTCCTACATCTATCTTACTTCCAACCTGTAGCTAGTTAAGAATTTTCAAACCTAGTATCATACGGGTGAGGTGATTCTGCACAATCGAGTGTTTGATGGGCATGCACATGCATTATTTACAAGATTCTGTTTTTCAAAAATAGAATCCAGACCACTTGCATTGAGTAAACTCACCTCTATACTGATTAAGATACCAGCGACTGAAGGTGCATTACTTGCAAGGCTCAAAAAATCAGACAACTGCATAAAGTGCCCATCATTTCTGGCTTTTGGATTTCGATAAAGTGAAAAATTCACGTATGGATTGTCCATTGCAGCTGCAATGAAAACAAATATATTACTACAATTTTAAATAACTATTCTTCAGATGCAGCTAACATTTCTGGAATGAAAAATGCACCAGGATATGCTAGAGAAGACGTCAAGTTAGATAGCGAATAAACAAATCTGAAACTAAGTAAGTCAAGAAAAATGCAAAATTAAGGAGTGCAGTAGTCTTGATGAAAGTTGAAAGGCTTGCCCCTAACCTAGATCCACTAGTTCATTCTCGGGTCAGATGGTATCATGTGAAATGTCCTATATACCGTAAGCCTCAATATCTTTAAAATATTAAATACTAGTGTATACTGAAGACCTATTCCATGTACGTAGGATGCCTTGAAAAGATCATGATTTTCAAAATTACAGCCTAGTCAACCTAAACCCAATCTGAGTCGGACAGGCCAGAAGTTGTTCATTTTTCAATTTTTGAAGTCAATCCATCCATTCACAAGTCCACGTGTACATTTTTGCTAAAAAGAACAGCCAAACTTTTCATCTACACATAATTTTGAATATGTGAATGTCAAGTTAGGAGAGTCATAGTACAGATGAAAAGTTTTTCTTACGCTTCAAGGTGCTAATTTGGCTCCACGTGAGATTATAGGCATATATTCCACTGTCTATTTTAAGATCTCGATTACTTGTGGCCAGGTTGCTGAAGTTTGTTTCATCAACATTAGTTCTATCTCTGAGGTTGATAGATCCCAAGCAAAAAGCTATCCCGTCGTTTGTCATTTGAACAGGACAATCAAGAATATCTACACCATCTGATATAGCTTTACTATATGCCTTGTCAGTACAGCCAGGATAGTTGCCGCTTGCTCCTTCCATTGAGATAACCAAAAGCTTTACTGAATCAAACAGAGAGCAAAAGAATCTGTTAAGCTTTACAGCTCAAAAGGTTGCAAATATATAGTATTCGAAGAAATTTAAAGAGCGAGTGAAACTAAAGAAAATAATATCCAAACTTCAAAACAGGGAAGTCCAGATGTTAATGCTTACCTTGTTCTTTTTCATTTTTGCCCATGTGTGAGAAGCAATCTGCAACACGAAAAAAATTAGATGTTGGAAGATATACATCCAGAGTCAACGCACTATGTCTTTATAAAAATTAGCTATTGAAAATGAAACATTCTAATTGCCACACAAAAAAAATCAGGATATTGATGATTCCTCCATTCAGTTTGGATAAGATAATTGAACTAATGAAGGCACGTGATGCAAACACTGTCAGGAACCAATTTTCAAGGGTAAAGTAAAATTGTCAGTGCAGAATAAAAAATTATTACTTCTAAACTGGATTGCATGACAATGTCATTAGAATATACATAATTCCTACTCTTCAGCATTACTATTTCCAAATTTTAGGTTCTATAGATACACCGTCGAAGCATATTCCTGTCGACAAGCTCTCTGAACTTGGTTATCAGTTTACATTTTCATGACAGTGATACATATCAAAGATGAGACCAACAATTTCCATCACCCAGCCAGGCTGCATGTTTATAAAGAGAAACTCCAGGTTGAATTGAACTATAAACCTCACAAACATTTTGAAGAAAAATCAATTCCATGCCATCATTCACACTATCGAAGAAAAAAGTCAAATAGTCTTGTAGCTTACCTATGGCTTCAGATGCAGTTATTGGGAAGTCAGAGAGTACACCATCAACAGAAAAGTTGCCATTGTCAATGTAGTTGAGATACTCAGAAACAGGGTCATAGCTGTAGTCATAGGGTAAAGCTGCATCGTTTACAAAATCTGATGCAAACACTTCTAGACCAGCTTTATGAGCATCCGAAACAACAGAAGTATGTGGCTGCAAATATAGACTGTTAACAGGCCAGATATAATTTTTAGGAACAAGAATTCCTGAGGCAAATGTTTTGATAAATGTAAGATTCCTCAAAAGTGAACCATATGTTTGGTTGGTTGAAGGCTCCATATCATCACGTCCCAGAAACCGAAATATGAGTTTTGTCGGGCTTCTGAATCGTGCGATGATACTTCTCAAGAATTTCAACTCTGGTGATGAAATATAATTAACAACCACTCTTTTAGACACAGAAATAATGAAGGTTCTCATTGTCAGATTATGTTGGCTGAAGAAGGCATCATGCTGCAAAGCATATACAAAAATACGGTTCATTACAAAGCATCATATTATTGGGTACAAATTTTGAATATGATCAAGAATGATTTGATACATGTACCTGAACATTCAACCACAAGCCTGCTGGTTTTGTCAGGTTAACAACATCTTCAACAGTAAGAATCGGCTGTGGAGTGCCGTCAAAATTAGGTGCCCGAGAGTAGATACTCTGTTTCACTGTCTCCAGTATTTATAGTCAGCAAGCATGCAAGCAATAACTCAGTATCTTATAACTTCGGCACAATTACAAACAATAATTAACTACTTTGAGTTACCAACTTAATGGACCATTCACTAAGACAATTCAACCACTAGCCAAAGTAGACAAATTTGTTTTGTATTGTGAGAAGCAAAAATGTACTGGAAGCTATAAAAAAAGTAATGGAAGATTCAATTGGTTTATGAAAATGTTTGAAGAAAAAACAGCCAATTACGGTTATTTTTGCAAATCATCCATTACTCCAAGCATGGTCCTTGAAAGATTCAATGACACACACAAGTTAGCAAGCATTAAGATGTAACGATGGAATAATGTATACTATGACGAGACCCATAAACTGAACTTACAATTGAGAAGAGATAGGTCTTCAAGGGTAAAATCAACAGAAAACCATCCTTGCATAGGAACCCCATTCACGGAGTAGGTTTTTACCCCTTTCTTGAAAATATTATCAATGTCAGAACCATTTTCAAGCCTAAGGTCTGGAAAGCAGATTCCAACTCCATCTTTCGTAAGTTGAACGTCACACCATACAACCACATTGGGTAAGGAAACCTGCACTGCTAGTTGATAGGCATATTGACCAGAATCGGGAAATATGCCTGAAAATCCACCTCTAGCTATGACTAAAGGAGAGTTTCCTGCAGAAAGTAGCCAAAAAAAAAGGGTTCTTGGAAACCATATTATGATAAGGAAGCTAAGGTAGTCACTGAGATGAAAGACTTAAAGGGACTCAGAATTATAAAATTCAGTTGTTTTGCCTTAAGGTGAAAACAGAACTCTACATAAAAGAACTTTACATTGAAAAAATAAATCTCCAAAGCTTCATCGATAGGTCTCAGAATTCAATGTGAGAAACAGACTGCATATTAAGCCTTTGTTTAGGTTTCATTTGTTTTCTCAAATTCAAACTTTAATTTTAACCACGCATTTCATAGGGTCAAGTGTACTACCCATTTATCCACCATTTTATTGAAAAGTTACTTTTTAGTAAAAAAATGAAATCCAAACATAGATTTTATATGATTATATCTAGCTTTTACAAAATACTAATTCTACAGGAAGCGATTAAGAAAAGATGAAAGTATAGTGAATAGTTGAATATAGTAACATGGAATTATTTGCATACAAGTCTCCCATCGATCTTTTGGTCATGCAAATGATCACCAACTTCGACCTCACTAATTTACTTTCACATGTTTCATAGGAATTACTGAAAGTTTGTGGATTCTCCTCTGGCTTGTTATTAAGGAAACATAATGAGACCATTAAAACTTAAGCTAACAAAATCAATATTCTCATAAAGTACCTAAAATGAGTATTTAAATGACTTCCTCCTCTATAAAACAACACCCCAAGTATTTAACGTCCTGGCATTTTTTACGGCAAAAACAAAACAAACCCCCAAGAATCCTAATTCAATATTTCCTTGTTCCTTTCGGGGAAAAATCACTCAAAAAGATGCAGAAAACACAAAAATTTACAATTGATACACACATATGGAAAGAGACAGAGATCACATACCCTCGAGTGTTTGCCATTTACTGGTTTTGTTCCTAGATCCTTGAGCAGCAACTAAAGCCACCAAGTAGCTAAGCTGAACAATTGAAAACAGGCAAACAAGTAACTGAAGTTTATACATTGCCGGCGTCAAAACTTTCGCCGGAAAACTTATGCCGAACTAAAAATTACACTTGTGATTGAGCAATTTCAGCTTCTTCAGATGTTATTATAGGAAAATGTGAAACAGATTAATGGTTACAGTACACCTCCATCTGAGAAGAATCAAAGAAGAAGGTTGAGAGAGAAAGTAGTGAGAGCTTTTCAGTTGGCACTAGGCTGTTGGTGTTTGAGGAAAGCGGAGTTTTATTTGTTATTTTGGTCGTGCAATACGAAATTAGAATATTTTATTTTGCTAAATGAATTGATTATAAATTATGTAATAATTGAAGCCATGACGCGTTTCAGTGGGTTTGTCTCAGTTAGCCAGCCGGCTTGATATCGAATAGGATATTTTGGGGGTTTTAAGCCCCTCTATGTCATTGTAACGCGTTCTACAAGAAAATCACTAAAATTCTTGCTTCTAAATTGAGACCTATTTTGGGAAGTATTATTGATCATGTGAAAGCCGCCTTTGTTGAGGGAATGAGTATGATAGAAAACATACATCTAACCTTAGAATTACCGAGACGATATAATAGAAAGATGGTCATTCCTCGATGTCTTCTTAAAATCAATCTAAGGAAGGCTTATGACTTGATTAGTTGGGAATTTCTTAAAGAGGTACTTGAGAGGTTGTGCTTTACTACAAAATTCGTTGACCAACGTACTCCATTGCTTTAAGTGGGAACATACAGTCCTGAGGAAGACACTCAATATTTATGTCTTCTTAAGAATGATCTATGGAAGACTTAGACTCGATTAGTTGGGAATTTCTTAAAGTGGTACTTGAGAGGTTGTGCTTTACTATAAGATTCGTTGACCAACGTACTCCGTTGCTTTAAGTGGGAACATACAATCCTGATGAAGACATTCAATACTGAAAGTAGTGATACTACTGGAAATAATACAAAAGAGCATAGTCAATCTCAGTGTTCAAAAGAACAGAAGGGTATTCCAAACCCGAAAATTGATGTTGACAATAGCAAGAATAATGAAAACAAAAATACATATGAGAATATGAAAACTCTGTGTATGCAAGAACAAGGTGATACTCTTAAAATTGATGTTGACAATAGCAAGACTATTGAAAACAAAAATACATATGAGAATATGAAAACTCAGTGTTCACAAGAACAAGGTGATCCTCTTTCATCCTTCTTGTTTGTTTTATGTCTTGAATAATTTTCGAGAATGATTAAGATAGCCACTAACAATAGTGAATTCAATTTTCATCCAAAATGTGGCCCCTTATAGATTACTCGGCATTTCCGGATGATTTGATGCTCTTTGCAATGAGAGATGTTGTGTTTGTGCAAAACTTAATGGATTGCCTATCCAAATTCCGTAATACATTGAGTTTAGGATGAATAACTTAAAACCCAGATTGTTTACAACTGATATTCATGGGCAAGAACTTCTTGAAATCCAAGAAATAATTAACCTTCCGAAAGGTACTATGACATTCCGGTATTTGAGTATCTCATTAGCATCCGAGAAGCTGAAAGTTAGTTGTTATGCCCATTTGTTAGACAAAAGAGCATCTTATATTGGTGATTGGACCTGCTCCTCTTTGTCTTACGCTGGTAGCGCGGAATTAATAAGGACGGTGCTCAAAGGAGTCGAATGTTTTTGACTTTCTATTTTCCCTGTCTCGACAACTATCACATCGAGAATCATTAGTCTACACTGTAATTTTCTCCAGGGATCTAAGAAATCTTTGATAGCTTGGAGGGATATTTGCCTACCGAAAAATGAAGGTGGCCTTGGTTTTAGAGACATGAAAAGTTGAAATTCAGCTTTACTTGCAAAATCTCTTTGGAATATTCACAAAAGGACGCCCTTTGGATACATTGGGTAAATCATATTTATCTAAAAGGGGCTAGCATTTGGGAAGTTTCGTCAAGGAAAGATTATTTGCCACTCCTTAAAAAATTGCTGAAAATCAGGGACGCACAAGGGCAGCCTGCTATGGTTGTTCACGCAAACGCATAGGGACAACCTTTGCGTCCGTTCAGGCAGACGCAAGAGGACAAATCGATGCTATCGTTCAGGCAGCTACGGCTTGGACTAAGGGGGATAATTTTTGCACAACCAAGGCATATGATTACTTTCGACCAAAAAAAAAAAACTTTTAAGATCTGGGGAGTTGATGTTTGGAAACCGTGCATTACACAAAAACACTCATTTTTGCTTTGGTTAAGTGGTCAATTTAAACTCCTCACCGAAAACAAATTGCAATCCTTGGATATTGACCGGAATTGTGTTCTTTGTGGACAAATGGCGAAAATAGGCCAACACTTGTTTTTTGAATGTTCGTTCACATCGATCTTATGGGGGAGGATCCGACAATGGCTTGGTATTAGAAGATCTATGTCTACATCATCTAGCACGTTGAAGTGGACAAAAAAGGAGGCTCATGGGATATATTGGCAAAGCAAAGCTAAGAGGATTGCACTTGGAAGCACCGTTTACCACATTTGGACGGTGAAGAATAGAAAGATTTTTGAAAACCTTATACCACACTTGGATAGCATTATGAGACTAATTAAGACACATGTATACATAGTTATGTTTTCTTTGTATCCGCATAACTTGATTCATTTTAAATCCTTAGCATTGGATCATTGATCTTATCGTTTGCACATTGTTTGTTCGGGTATGCCCGAAGTATTTGTATAAGTCATTCGATCTGGGTTACCCGAGTATATCCGATGTACTTACATATGAATTTTGATCAGTAGAATTTCATATTTACCGATCAAAAAGAGAATGGGATAAACTAAATCCTTTATGTATTTTATAAATTAAATCGAAACAAATTTCACTGCACACCAAAAAATGAAAAATCTATTGATTAATAAAAGAAATAAAAACCCAATTAAGTTTATTTTGATCCATTCCTGATAGGATTAGAGTGTGTAATCGCTTAATCAGAGTCACTGATACATATATCCTATTATTTGATAGGGCTGCACAAAAAAACCATGAAACCGCAAACCTAATCGAAACCATTAGTTCGGATCCACGTGGACCTATGGTTTTTTTTTTCCCTCAAACCGAACCAAATCATTTCAAAATGGTTTGGTTTAGGTTTCAATATTCAAAAATCGCATAAAATCGAATCGAACATTTTTTTTTTAAAGTTTTCACTTTTTAGCAAAAATACCAATTTAGCAATACAAATTGCAACTAACCCATTGAAATAATCATTTAAAGTAAAGTAAGTTCATCATTATTTGTCGATGGTTTTATAAGTCCACAACACACGTCCAAACCTGATATCTAAACTAAAATTAATTCCAAATCATATGAAATAAAAAAAAATTATTTTCAACAATTCAAATCATAATTCAATAAAACTACGACAACAAACCTTAACATAAACTCTCATTTCTCAAGCATTTGACGCTTGACTACTACTGTTGAACAAAATATGATTCCCAATAGCAAATCGTTAGTCGTCTTTTGCTTGTTAGTCTGCTAATTTCTAACCGAATACCTCTTTCTCTATTCTCCCTTGATAAATTTTAGATTCTTATTCAAGTCATTTTTTTTAATTGTTCTTTCTTTCATTTGTTGTTTTTGAACTTATTATATACTTAAAAGTTGTGATTTAGATTTAAAAAAGAATGTTTTAAGTGCATTGTGAAAATGTTATAGTACAACTTAGGGATGGTATAAAAGCTCGTCGGCTTGAGTGCCTCGAGCTCGGCCCGGGAAAAGCTCGGTCGATCTGGGTTGGGCCAGCTCGTGGGTCGATTCCACCTAGTCGAGACTCTAGCCAAGCCTCATTTTGGGGCATCGGCTCAAGCCCGGAGGTGTTTTGTAAAAAAAAAGTTAAATTTTGTTTTATCTAGCTGCTGTAAACGTAGGCTATGTGACTGTTGCCAACGTTTGCAAACAGCAGTCACGTAAAAATAAAATAAAATAAATTGAGCCTGCTCGGGTCGAGCCTAATTTTTTTGGCTCGGCTCGGCCCAAAAAATTTCAGACCTGTTTTGCTCGAGTTGAGCCCAATCTTTGAGTTTCAACTCATGGCTCGACTCATTGACATAACTAGTACAATTGCATTCTACTTCCTCAAAGTAGTTAGAGAATAAAATTTGTCAATTTTCAATAAACATGAACTCTATTATTGTTTGTACATTTAAACATATCATGGTCAGTCCTTATTTTTCATCTCACTAGTAGAATAAAAGAAATTTAACCAAACTATTACAGCGGAATGTGATTCTATCTTTACTAACCGTTACATGACAATACCAAAAGCAAACAAGAATAGATAAATAAAAAAGAAGAAAAATATATTTGTTCTATTAATATCTTTTAGCAACCAACTTTGAAAATAATTTACTCAAGGGTGAGAAATATGAATGTAATTTAACATTTAATATTATTAGTTCTCGTTTAAACTTATATGAAATGGTTTGAGTTGAAAGTATGAGACAAACTGTCTAAACCGAATTGTGTTCACCC